CTACAGCCGCGGGGAATCGGTAAGGCCGGCCACAGCCGCGGGGAATCGGTAAGGCCGACCACAGCCACGGTGAACTGGTAAGGCCGGCCACAGCCATGAGCAACCGGTAAGGCTGGCCACAGCCATGGTGAACCACTAAGGCCGGCCACAGCCACTGGGAACTGGTAAGGCCAGCCACAGCCACGGTGAACCACTAAGGCCGGCCACAGCCACGGGGAACTGGTAAGGCCAGCCACAACCACGATAGCCTGATAAGGCCGGCCACAGCCAGAATGAGACAGTTAGAGCTCCGCAGGCGATCTCAGCACCTTCTGCTCATAGCCATGGTGAGCCAGAGAGACTCTTCACCCACCAGCACCAGCCAGTGCATCATAGCCACGGTGAATTGGTGAGAGACTCTCTTGCCGCAATTGGCTAACATTGGTCACTTTATGGCCTATTCTCTGGCTAGAGCCTCATGCCAAGCCAGAGCGGACAGCGAGCGCGTTCACTGCCACAGTGAGACAGTCCGAGACCGAGCCAAGCCCAAGCTCTGAGCTGGCACCGGCCACATCAGGCACTCACATGCCACAATGACGGGCAACACAACGGATGGGTCAGAGCCACAGAGAGCTACTTAAAGCCGCCGTCCAAGCTAGAGCTTATGGCTAACACAGTCCAGGCCATAACCATAATGAGCCGCACTAGCCTCCCAGCCTGGGTGGGCTTATGGCTTCAGTGCGGTCATGGCCGCAGGCCTGGCTAGCACCAGCCAGGAACAGAAAACACGCTCAGCCGTGAGTGGAGCGGCTGCATTTCACACCCTTGGATTCACATGCACAGCCCACCTCCACACAAAATATACACGGGCGCCGAAGTGCATGCACAGTACTGTGGCTATCCCTCCCACAACCCGCTCTTTGGCTCTGCCTGACCAGAGAGGGCTCCAGCCCTCTTGCCCCTGACCTTCACTTCTTGTGAAAACACAAGCCGTGGGGAGCGGTAATTGTGCAGTGGTAGAATAGTGTTGGGGCATCAGGCTGCCATCCCCCGCTGCACAGGCTGCTTTTCCGGTACCTTGACTCCACTCGCTGATCCGCCCCTTAGCGCTAAGTTTATGCCTTTTCTCTTGTCTTCGAGGTTCACCCAAACTCCCTTTGACAGAGGCGTCTTTGATTTCACGAGCTGTTTTACCGTGGAGGACTGGCTGGAGTCCATCAAACTGGGGCGCTATCGGGAGAACTTCGCCATGGCCGGGTATTCCTCGCTGGGGATGGTGATGCGGATGAACATCGAGTGAGTACG